GTTATTGAAAAAAGCACATGTTTGTACACGGCCATAAAGTGAAAAAAAGGTTCACGGCTGTTTGTTACGAGAGCAGTTGTAACGGAAGGGCACGTATCGGGTAACATGATTACAAATATATCATAAGCTCCTCCGATCAGCCTTGCGCGGAGGGCGCTCGAGAAAGGGCCCGTGCTGGGAAAAAGGAGGAGCGTGTCCTTCGGCACGCGATACACGTGCGTCGCCTGTCGATGCGGCTTTATCGCAGCAAATCACTGCCGCACCAGCGAAATAAAGACAAAGAGAGGAGAGCGGGATGGTCGAGAAACAGGGTGAGAGTGAGTGAAAAGGGCGCGTGGTATATCCCTCGGCTAAATCGAATTGACAGAGCACGTTTCTTCCATACCGCGCCAGGAAAAAAAAAACCTCGAAAGGATACGCGGTGCAACGAACAAACATTGTCTAGCAAACTGTATGATTTGTGCTGGTGCCCGTGAACTTTTCACGATTGAAAGAAATGAAAACGCGGAGCACGTTTCAAATCGGTGAGTCTCGAAATAACTCACGAAATCGAATGGTGGAAATTAATCTGGGAAATTTAACAACCCAAATATCTGCGAGTTATTCAAAACATACGTCGATAATTTTGTTTATTTGATGAAATATTTTAAATTTATAGGATCTGAAAATAGAATAGAAAATTAAAAAATTACAAACGTGACGAGCTTTTATAGAATCACTGCTGCACAAGTAAAAGTAAAATCTATAAAAAATTAGTCACTCAATCTCGGATTTTTGTGTCAGTTTCTGAAGGCCGCGGAATAGAATCATTTTTCATCTTTTCAGAGAAAGGCCGATGTGCGAAAATTCGTTAAAATTCCATGAAACTCGCGCTCCTGGCGATAAAGGAGAGTCGGGGTGTATAAAAACGCAGGGAAAAGGCTGCGATATCGTGAATTGGCGCTACGGAAACCGCCCTCGCAGCCCGAGACAGCCAGATATCTCGGAATGTTTTACACCTCATTAGGCAACAATGTGTTGTTGCCAGGGTGAATTATATCGGGCATGAGACGCCCGTCAAGACAAATGGCTCGAACCGGAGGTAATTGTGGGCTTTTATTAGCTCTGGTTTCTCCCGTTGGCTGCGAATCGCGCAACGCGGGAGACGCCGAGCCAGCAGCGCAGCGACAGCAACCCTTCTAGCTCCTGCTCCTCCCGTTCCACGATCCCTACATCCACCACCCACTCCTTGTCCTATCTCCACCCACCGTACCGTTGCTTTCGACGATGCGTAATTACTCGCGTGACAGTAATGCGGGAATGCGAATCTCGCCTCTCTAATGCCTGCAGAATCATCTACCTTCTCTTTGTATTTACTTCCTATGTTGCGGCACAGTCATCGTTTTCCTGTGCTTCTTCGGAATCTCCTTCGACTTTTAATCAAAACAATTGTAACGAGATTTTAAAAATCTCAAGAGTTACAGTTCAGAAAAATTCAATTATTCTTCTTCGCCTATGCAAAGTTAATTGCTAATTACGCTACGGTAGACTGAGCATTAATGTATTGAACGAGAGTCTCGTATTATCTAGTTGATTAATCAAAGGACAAACATCAAGATGTTTCATAGAACATAAAAAAATATAAATTAAAATTTTTCCATAAATATGACAAAATCATTGCCATTGTTATGGTGTGATAAGCAAGGGAAATTGTATTGTTAAACAGAATTTGTGACAGGAAGTTGCGGAATAAGATTGTCATTTCTCATGCGTCTTCTCTCTTTCCCTTTCGACAGTGAGCGAAACTGCCCGCTTTCGAGGGGAAAATACAAGCTTTTGAAAGACCGTATTTTCACGACGAAAGAGCCGCTATCTACACGTTATTACGAGGTACGAGCCGCTCGCTACATATGCGGGCCAAGCTTGTCTCTCCCTCTTTCGCTCGTTGCCCAGCGACTCATGTATTTATGCATTTCCACCGACTGGCTGCTCCTTGACTCGCATTCACGCACACATATAGGCGGAACAGCGTCAAAAACACGCGTACATTGGTTACATTCGCTTTGCACAATAAAGAAAAATAACATAGATAATCCAATATCGTGGAAAAAAATTTTTCTCGAATTAGAAGTCGGTTGTTGCGGCCCCTGCTAGACACTCGTAGTTACCTTTCATTATACAAAAGCTATATTTACTCATTGCATTCAATTCGGATTCACTTACGGTATGATTTATTTGGCGAAGGCGTACCTGGGAGCTTGTGATGGGAATTTATTGGAGATGGAGGTTGCCCTAAAAGCCGGAGCACACGGGATGGAGGCAGCAAAGAACACGGAAGAAGGAGGAACAAAGAGAAAAACTGCACAGAGGACAGCGGAGCAAGGGAGAAGAAGATAAAGGGTACGCGCGCGCGTCCTTTCCTCATATTCTGTATCCTCTGTATGGCTTATAAAAGTTTGTAAGGATGTCTTCCGAAATGCAGATTTATTGCGACGTTTCTGTCCGCGTGTCGTTGCTTTGTGGGATTCTTTACGATTGAATAATATTGCACAAAGTGGTATGCGAAGTGTCCATTATGCATTTTTTTCTTGACAAATCTCCAATCAAATTTACATGAACAGAAGTTTGATTAAATGTTCTTAATCTTTATGTTAGGTTCTTTAAAGTCTTTAAAGTCTTTAACTGTACTAGTGTTATAAAAAGCAATAGTTATTGCAGACACGATATATTTTTAGAAACAAAAACTTGTGCAACTTATAAAAGATCGTTTACATCAATTGCGGAAAAGCTTCTAAGAATATCTATTAAATTCGTGGTGGAGTAGATATATACAGCGCTTTATCCGGCAGTATTGAATTTTTATTCGCCTTCTCTATAACTGCTGGCCATACAGAATTGTCCTGCAGTATTGTGCTTTAAAATACATGTGCGACTTAAATCAAAATAACAATAATTGTGTCTAGTAGACGCGGTTGACCAGCTTCGAAACCTTTGCTCGCTCGCCCTCTTCTTATAAATCATCCAATATTACAGATTCTCTCGTGATAAACAAGTGGCTGTTACATTTATTGAGTAAGCATTACTCTCGAACATTCTATTGACTCCCATATACGTACATCAGAGATAGAGAATTAAATTTTTATTTTCACATTATTGCTATAGAATTTATCATGGAATAACATCACAACTTCTTTTAGTTTCAGTCAAGAAATTATTTAAATAATTCATTGTCGATGTTGATAAATTATTGATAAACATATATGATATTTAGACTTACGTGTAACCGGATAAGTATTTATGTAAAAGTGCGGGAAAATCTCGGGAATAGTAAAGCAAAACGAGCACTAGTTGTGCTTGCCAATTTATGCATGGAGCGGGATTTCGGTCGATCGACGAGGGCACAGAACGCCACGGGGTGGAGCAACGGTTCGGCAGAGAGGGAAAGGAGGTAGGAGGTAGAGGACACAACCACCCCATGAACCCGAACATGAATTAAAGTTTTAATTTCTCTAAATCACTGTTCGCCCTCGAGCGCTTTCCACCAGACGGTCCGTTACTTATAGCCTTTGCCCTTTTTACCGCCTTCTTTTTTCCCATTCGCCTCGATCTTACCGACGACCCGACCCTCGCCAATAGGGAGAAATCGATATGCACTTATCCGATGACTCTTGAGACCCCGAATAACGAGTCGTCCCTCTTTTTTTTTTTTTTTTCGTTCCTTTTTTTTACGTACTTCCGAGCGATAAGCAAGACTGCCGGAAATTGTTCGACCTCGAATATTTCCAGCTTGCTTCGATTATACAAATTTATTTATAATTTAAATTATATCTGCTCGCGCGAAGAGAATACACGTGAAGTCTACAGAAGTTTATTTTCATACGCCATTATCTAGTACTCGTATTTTCTCGTATGCGTATAGTATTTTGCCAAAGTTACCAGAGTTTATTACCAGAACTCAGCAATCTAAGTCCGCGTTCAATTTTCAAGTTATTTGTGTACCAATCGATTAAAACTATTTTCTTAATATACAATGTCTTATTTAAATTATTTTTGCATTGCACAAATGCGACAAACGCTATTGATCCGCACAAATTTCTCAGACAGTTAAATATGTATTTATAAAAAATGTCCGTAAAAAAATTCTCGCATTCTACAGCAATCAATCACGACGAATGATAAATAATGATAATCCGGAATGGAAACAAAGGCACAATGCGAACAAATTCAAAAATCGTTTAGTACGCAAAATCACGAAACACACGACGGCAATTCCGTCGTTCGCCCGTGTTTTCGGGCTGAAAGGGAGAAACGGGGGTTGTTCATTTAAAATCATGACGTCGGTCGGAGGGTGCTAGCACGGTGGAGGCGTTAGTATTAACGTTAGGTACCACCGGTCGGGCTACCTACAAGAACTTCGTGTAGCCCCCCTTCTTCCGCCGCCCCGCTACTAGGTTGCTTTCCCTACCGGGTGACATATTGTTTCCATTCTGCTCTCTCGGGCTAAAGCGCAATAAAAAACTGGCATAAATATCGCCTCTCTTCCTCTCTCATCTTTCTGTATAATCCCACCGTCTACGCGGTGCCCTGCGAGGCTGTGCCTTACAATAGTAAGAATGGAGAAACGCCCGATAACGAGTAGACCACACGAGAGCACCATTGCTGTATTGCTTGTGATATAACAGTCGCGAGGATTAATTTGTCTGAGTGGCTTTTCGGACCGCGAGAAGGAAACTGCAAGGATTGTGGTCTCGCTTGCATTTTCCGCGACTTTTAACTTTTCGTCGAATAATATTTTATGCATTTTAATACGATAATAATGTACGTATGATGTTTAAGATTTCGAGTAAGAATATTTTCTATAAATTGTATCACCTTGCCTTCGCGGGCAGAAAGATAAATTCTATTCTCAGCTAAATCTTTCAGAAATATTCAACATTTCGATAACAACGCCGACAATGTCAAGTACCAATATGTAGCAAAGATGTTTTAATATTAATATCGTGTGCATATACATTACTTACAGCGTAACAGGTTCTTCAGGGCTAGAAGGTGAGATGGAGAGCGACATGGTAGTAGCGGTCAGACATCGTGATGTTCCCGGAGACCTGACTCGATCGTCCACCTGCAACAATACAAACGCGGTCACTCGCAATTCAAAATTTCAATCGATCGATCCTGTCAGTTTCTCAGCACCGAGCAAAGTCGCATGTTACAGATTCTGAAAACTGGCTGCAGCCGTTTCGGAGACTTGCGGACTGTCCCACGTCACGATAGGTAGAAGAAAGCGCGGAGAAGGAGAGCCCGTCGAATTCTTCGCGCGATACTTGTTACCGTCGATGGGGAATTGAGCAACAGGTAGAGCAGACGTGTCCTCGAGGCATCATGCTCGGCAGAGCACACGCGTGATTCACTGCATAAGTGAGTTATCAAAGGCATCTTTTTTTTCTCTTATCTCCGTTCGAACTCAAATGAAAAAAATAAGATTATGTAGAGTTCTTTTTCACATGTTTATTGATAAATGGAATTCCTTAAATTTTTCAGGCCGAGTATAATGATATAAAAGCAATCTGCAAATTATGTAATTTGCTCTTTGCATGTTATGTGTACTCATAAATTTAAAACACAAATTTTATTTGTTTAATGAGAAAAATGAATATATATAATTGCAAAATATTAGCTGAAATATTGGAAATATTATAATTTTCCGTTTTACACGATGACTAAATGACTGTCGTGATTTCCCGGAGATTAATAACGAGCATGGACCGTTCTACGACAATCGCGGGGAGAAACAAACGTAGCCTCCGGCAAGTGAACCAGACTCGGCGGCACAACCGACATCAATCTGAACGAGCGAGCCGCACCCCTAACGATCCACTGAGTCATATAAATTTTATTGCCATTTCATAAATCCCGAGCACCACCGCGAATAACCGTCCGGGAGCTCTCCGAGAGATTATCAGGAACGTATAAAGTTGTGGAACATCACACGGTTACGGCTCGCTCGATTGTCGTTTCGGATGTCGCCGCGGCGTAATTTTCGAGCGCAATCGCGAAAACTTTCGCGAAAATATAGTGGTAATTATTGTCCAACTTAAAAAGCGATCATGCTATTCGAACGATTGGCATTTTATACCGATTCCCAAGCTTTATGTTCGCGTAATGTCACGTAGGAAGATGATCACGACTCTAACGAATTCATTCCCGACGATGATGTTTGCTCGCGTCCGAATTTTTATTGTTGCGATTACGATGTACAGTTAGCACGAGAACACGATGTAACGTATTGGTTTCTTGGGATCAATCTTAAAAAATATTTCAACCGATGATAGAAGGCGGCTGCCATCGAGATGTGTACAATCTTTAATTAAGAAGAAATGTAATATGGACGAGAAACTAGATGAGGTTACGACGGCACTCCCCGCCGCTCTTGAGCCGCAGGGGTCGGTCGTATTCACGACCACAGAGGATGGAACAAAGGAAGTTATCGCCGCAGAATTTTTATGCCGACGAGAAAAAGAAATGTAAATCAGATCCTCTCTCTCTCTCTTTCTTTTCGTTGTCGTGGACTGAGAAAGGATGAGAGGACTAAAGAATTTAAAAGTGTCGTCTCTCTTCTTGTAGGATATTAAAATTCGTGTATCAAAATTGATATGACATATATATGCATTTATTTTCACAATTTAGAAAAATATCTTTTCCAGCCTTTAGAAAAAGAGGGGAACTTTTTATTCATCCGCGTCTTTGAAGCTTAATTCGGTAAAAACTAGTGGCGTATAATTTATAAACTTGTTTGTTCTCTCTGCTGAACGCGATGCTTGATATAAAATGCTCTGTATAGCCTAATCATTACGCGTGACGAACAGGTAAAACTGATAATTAGTCATTCAGCCGCACGAGGAAAGGGCGATAAAGGGACGAGACGAGTTAGAATCGAAATGTAATTAAGAGAGTAAATAATCCGTACCAAACAAACTCCGTAAAATGGATCAAAGAACTCGCGAGCGACAGGGAACGCGATAATCGAGGCAAAGAAGATGGAAAAGCGCCGACGAAAGGTACCGGGGTGAGTTACGAGCAACCGTGCCTCGTCCTGTCGTCGTCCTGTCTAGCTGGAAGGAGTAGGGCAACGAGAGGGGGCCACGCCGGAGACCCTCGATAAATATTTCCGTCAAGTGACCGGGGTTGGAATTCAAAGAGAGTCGAAAGGTGGAATCGAGAGCGGCTCCAGTCTGTCTTGTGGAATGAGGGACGCCGAAAAGGAAGCCGAGGCGAGCCCGAGGCCAGTATATTTGCGTTACATAGTTGCGCGTTTAATCAGCCGTATACCCGGAAGGAGCTCGTTTGAGGAGGAAAAAGATAGCAAGCAGATGAAAAGCATATGTACCTCGTTTAACATCGAGAGAGAAAAAAAGACACCAGTTGTGCCTTTAAAGAGAAGAAATGGGAAATCCTGTTTATTGGTAACTCGCTTGTGTGCGATCTTTATGCAAAACTACAAATTTTAGATCACGGCGGACAAAAATGCGAAAGTAAGATTATTATTAAATTAAATTGTTAAATATACCTTTGCCTTTTCAACAGATAGAGCGATAAATCTAAATTTTTCTAATCAATATTTGTTTAATAAAATTTAAAAATCAAGAACGTTTTTCCCTTCTTTTTTTTAGGATTACTTAAATTATTCGTGATATAATATTTGTACGAAAAGAAGCAAAAGGGATCGAATGAGAAAAGGAGCAGACGCCTCTCGCAGAATGTCGATGGCGTGACAGATTGCCTCCAGTATTTTCCACCACATACATCATCGGCTACGGCCAGACCTTAGTTCTGTTTCGGTGCTCGCAACTGTCATCCTCCTTAATTGACACCGCCCGCGCTTATCTAACCGCCTCGGCAGCAGCGCCAAATTTCTCCTCTCTTCTCCTTCTACGTTACGCATACGCGCATTTCTTACTCGATAAGCAATCACATCGGAAGGGCTAAACTTTAAATTAATATACGACTGAGTGAGACAAGATACGGTAATATATTGATAATAGAACGAAGGGTCGGTGACAAACTGCCGACCGCACTTTCATCGTCAGGGATGCGATTAGGGAAAAATTCGTCCTGTTTTAATGGGGAGTGAAAATTAAATACTGCGGTGTCCACCCCTTAGGTCCGGCCACCTAATAATTCATACGAGGAATGTAAAAAGGGGCAGAGCGCCCTTTTTCCACGAGCTCGAGGAGAAAGCGCGAGGAGTGCGACGGAAGTCGAGGGGGGGGAGTAGAAAAATACGAGCTTCTGTTTATCTTGAGATTTGTAGCCGCCTTGTTCCCGATATTTATTGGCTGCTACGGGGGAGCAGCGGGAATGCCGCAACCTGACGGACCGTTAAATTTTATTATGTTTTTTTCACCGATGCCGAAATAACGCGTCTCCGTGTACGGTCGCCTGCATCGCAATAAGAATAAATTCTGATCGACAGTGGATCGACATTTCTCTCAAGGGCCATAGACTCGCGAGCTCTTGCCTTATCCTCACGCTCTCGAATCGACCCCCTCGCTTTCCCGCGTGAAACTTGGAAAGAAAATTCAATTTATGCTGGGCATCGACCGAGACGATGAAATGATTATTAAAAAATAGTGATTTTTTATGCCATCAAGAAAATAGAAAATTTCCGTAATTAATTTCCTGCGAGAATTAAATCTATATCATTCATAAAGCGTGTACACGCCTCGGTAAATTTGTTAGAGAGGCTCGTGAGCACACATATCCTCCCGCAAGTCTGCATCCAGCAATGGCCTAACCGTGCGAGGTCATATCCGGGATTAAGGAGACGGCGGTTGCAGGCTCTTCAGGATGATGGTTGCGAGCATAGTGGAGGCGCTTCGCTAAACCAGGCGCCTCATTATCTTAACAAATCTAATCTCGTGGTGGGTGTTTATAAATGTCTTGTTTTCCCCTAAAACGGCTCTACGGACCGACAAGGAGAGAAAATCTCTACAGATTATGTCTACCATCTCTTTATTGCTCATAGAGATTCGTGAGAAGCAGCATTTGCATAAATATCGCTGCTGCTACGTTATTTTATTCTGAACAACGATTATTTGTTGTTTTTCAAATCATATAATTCTTAATGCAAGATTTACCAGAGCAATAAAGTATGTGAGATTAAATATATAACATGGCGTTGCACACACCAACTAGATTCCTAGCTTAATCGGAGTCTTTAGACACAACAAGAACGTCGGCAGACGCTGGCAGTCAAGGAAGGGTAAACCTTTGTTATTATAAGATGGAGAGTACAGCTTGTCGCAGAGCTAGAGACCCTAATCTCTAAAGAGCAATAATACGAATCCTTTCTTCATCTCTTTCTCTCGCAATTATCATTAAAATTGTCAAGGTGTGCAGTAAAAGTTAATTCAAGCCTTCGTGATAAGCAGAATTTTCTCATTTTTTTCCAAAGATTCCTAAAAAACTATTCTCTTTCACGCAATTGTGACAAACTTATTTTGTATTATAAAAATTAAAAACTTTCCAAGCACCATACATTTTTGCTAAATATCTCTACAATTATTTCTACTATAATTTTATCTTTACAATAACATCATGTTTATAACTTTTATTGTAAAATCGAAGAAATTGCATCAATGCAACCATAGTCGCTAGGTAGGATTATGTATAGCAATCCTTTTATGATACTTTGATTTAAATTCCGCTTTAGAGCAATGACGTCTCCAGACATTGTGAAGCAGGAAACTTGCGTCACAGTAAAACTCTTTCTCTTAAATTTTCATTCGAATCTCGTACAAAGAGGTTACGCCGGGGGTTTGCTTCATCCTTGCAGGCGAAACCCAGGCTCTCTTCCATTCTGCCTCGTCTTGGGCATAATTTGCACACAAAGTACCAAGGAGTAAAGTACTATGCGGGGTGCCAGTACCGCGTTATACGTATCCGCGTTGTACGTGTGCGCGTTATGTATGTACCGAACCCAAAGACATTATGCTAACGTCTTCCCACGTGACGGTCCTCTACCTGATGCGCCTGTCTCAGGTTTTCTTTAATAATCAATGCGAATACAAAACAGCTTTGAATTAATTAATAATATTATGAATAAACTTTCGGTATCTCGCA